CCCCCACCCCCGGCTATGCAAGAAATCTCTTTTGTGTACACTTTGGGGAAATTCTACGCCTAAGCTGGAGGGAAACAACTCTTCCCTCTGTAGTTCCATCTACTCTGTGCTCAAACCATGCTACAGAAACATGCTCCTCTGAAAACTTTACTATCGCTCCTATACCACTAATGTCACAGACGCAAATACACACACACACGCACCTACATAGAGTGCTGGTGACTCCCTGCATCTAACCCCTCACGTGCAGAGGTGTCCAGCCCTGTTAACACCAAATACCTAAACCTTCCTCAGCTTGCTTGCCTCTGCTTTCTGGCTGTTCGACTTCCACAAGTACTCTCTAGCAGCAACTGAGTTGGAATATAAGGGGATACTACACTAATAGCTACAAAATCAAGACCACAGCTCCTCTGTTACAACCAATTCCAGACAAACCTCAAAAATCAGTGTGATCTTTAGGGAGCAGATGGAGAGTGACTTCCCACAGGCGTTGTTCTGAATTACAATTCGGAAGGTGCCAGCATCCATGTTATTGGGGCAAAAATCCTTAGAAAAATAGATAACGTTGTGTTAGATCTTTTCAAGCAACTAGACCAGTCTTAAACAGGAATTTCAAAGAGAAAAGCTATGGAAAAAACTGAATTGTTCGTAGTACCAGTCCTGCACAGCCGAAAAGGTAAAATATTTTTTCTTAAAATTAGCAAAACCAACTATAATTTGGGGATGACAAAATGTCTCACCGAGTCCTGAGGTTAAGGCTGATGCGTTAATCTCTGCGTGCTTGTGTCACAACAAAAATGCTGTCAGTCTTGGATGGGTGAGAGAAACTCTCAGCTTTTCAACACCACACCAAGTCCTTTCCCTTGCAGGTGCTGGAATTACATCAGGAAAGGACTGTCCGACCCAGGAGTTAATCGTATAGTGCCCTCTTGTGTCAGTTCTGAGGGTTAATTTCTTTGCTTTTATATGGAAAATCTCACTGTATCTGGTCTAGGTGCAAGAGGAGGGGAGGAGGTTCCGTTAATCAGTGTTGACTATTTTGCATGGGATAGCCCTTTAATTACTCAGACTGAACCCTACAGTGTAAGCTGTGAAAAGCGTATGGGTAGAAAAGTGAAAAATATTGATACCTGAGCTAGGATATAGTCACAGTCTCCCAGGAAATCAAACTTCTCCCCATCAAAGCTCATGTAATGCCCGTTTCCATACACAGTGCAAGTTCCCTTGCAGGGATTTTCTGTGCAGTTCCACTGCCTTTTGTTACAGGTGCTGGGAGGCAAAATGCAAAAAATCACAATCTTTGTTTGAAACGTGTTTTTTCCTTAACCCCAAACAGGGCAGAGTAATTCGAAGATTTGTCTTTTGCAGTACTTCAAAGAAAGCAATCGTCTCACTCTTCCGTACTTACCCTCTCAACTGCTCTGAGACTATGCCATGACATGGCTTACTAATCAAAAATTTCATGTTTACTACCAAGATGCGTTTGAACTTTGTCTATTTTCATTCTATTTTTTCCTTCAAATGTGTTTCAACAATTTCTGAATATTAATCTGTGAGGTACCATGTGGTCAGGTTCTGTTCCTGACTACAGTGGTGTGAACCAATATTCTCCCTGTCTTCCCTTGCTGTATTGGGTCTGGCCGAGATGGAGTTTTTCCCCCAGCAGCCCTCATAGTGCTGTGCTTTGTACTGGTAGCTAGAAAGGTGTTGATAGCACATCAGTGTTTTGGCTGCTGCTGAGCAGGGCTCACACAACATCAAGGCAGTCTCTCCAACATCCCCCCTCACCAGTAGACAGCGTGTGGGCAAGATCTTGGGAGGGGACATAGCCAGGACAGCTGACTCAAACTGACCAAAGGGATATTCCAGACCATATGACATCTGGTCAGCAACAAAAGCTAAGAAAAAGGAGGGGGAGTGGGGGCATTCGTTATTATGATGTTTGTCTTCTGGAGCAACCACTATGCGTACTGAAGCCTTACTTCCCAGGAAGTGGCTGGACTTGCCTGCTGATGGGAAGTAGAGAATAAATCTTACCTGTTTTTCTTTGCTTCTATGTGCAGCCTTTGCTTTTGCTTTATTAAACTGCGTTTATCTTCACCCACAAGTTTTTTCCGTATTATTTTCTCCCCACCCCCATCCTGCTGAGGAGGGGAGTGATAAAGCACCATGGTGGGCACCTGGTGTCCAGCCAAGGTCAACCCACCACAACTTGATAAACTCTACCTCCAGTTCAAGGGGACCACAGACAGAAAATTTTAGTTGTTATACCCTTGACACAGAGACTACAATTTTTTTCCTCATGTGTGTCCTATTCTCATACAAAACCAAAGCCCTCACTGCAATAAAACCTCTTAATGGGCTTTGTGATATCAACTGCTTATCAGGGTTTGGCTTCACATGTTAAATTTGATTGCCTGTACCACTGGTGATCAGACCAAAGTGTTTCTGGCTCTTATTTTCTGTGCATCCTCTTGGCAGGGCTGTACAGTCTCATCCTCACTAAATAATGGGCAAGGATTCAAAGCATTTTACCCACCATGATCAGTAATAACAGCGAAGGCTATGGTGGAGCAACTAGAGCATTCATTTATCTTATTTGAGACCTACACACCCAGCAGCACTGCAAGTCACTGGAAGATTGTTGCAATTCCTCCATCCTCTAAATTCAGTCCTTTTCTGGGGTTCAGCTGTGCCCAACAGACACAGACTCAATTCCCTCTTGTAGAATGACCAGCCACAGATCAGCCTGGATGAGCCTGGCACTTCTAAAGCTGGTGTGGAAGTAGTTTGTAGAAAAGGATGGAAATTGTTTGACAGAAGATCTTGGTACTTGTTCTCCCCCAGTGCAGGCTTGTGCAGTGTGTTGCAGAGAGGAAATGTTTCCCCTTTTATTTTTACTAAAATCCTGATGAAGAGCTAATGATGACGAGGAAGGCTTCAAAATGCATCCTGCTCCACGGGCGCACTATGCACTGACAATTTTAACAGCCTTTGTTATAAAACACAGCTCCCTGGAATAACATACCATGTGTTGCAGTCCACTTTGATTGTTTCCCCAGGTTTATAAAAGTGTCCTCCATGGACACATGGGCATTGATCTTTGGGAATACATCCTCCACTGCCATCCAATACCAGCCCATCGGGACACATGCAGCCAGAAACACATTCTGTAACATACTGCGTATTCAAAGATAAAACATAAGGCAACTCGTTAATGCACAGGAAGTACAGGGAACCAGCAGAAGGGCTACCTCTGGATGCCAAACTTTTGGATTTTTAAAAAAATCCTGTGAGTTAGTGATAATCAGACTACAAGTACCACAGCTGCATGGGTAGCTATAGCTCTGTGTTATCAGTAAAGTAGTTGGTCTCTGAACAGTGTAACATGTTACCACCAGTGTTTGTTGAGGACAATCATACATGCACAATCATGTTGTCCCATGCTCCTGCTAGGAGGTGAAGTCCTTACACAGTGCATGTCCTGCGTCTTACAACTTTTCTGACACTCTGATCCAATCGCACCAGGACCTGCAGAGCTGCAATTGAAGTAATACATGGGAGCTGGACAATCTATAGGAGGAAGAAAACATTTTAGGAAGGTAATTTAGTGAGAGCAATAAAGATGCTGTCAGCAATTGTAAAACAGAGCAGAGCATTTCAGAGGGCAGCATGTGTCTCTTATTTACAGTTTCTGTTAGCTTTTGCTTCTGCCCACCAACAGTGCAGGGAGAAGGAGGCAGATAACTTCTAAGCGTGGGAAATATCTTAATCCTTTAAATGATTCAGCAAGTCTGGCGACATTTTTACAAAGACAACTATTATCAATAACCAGCACATTTCAGGGAGAAGGCAAAAATGTGCAGAATACTAAAAAGTTATAGAAAGTGAGAGATAACACAGAAAAACCTTATAAATACTAGCTAACACGATAATGCCATTTTTTAACAAAATCTCACCTTTTACCAGGACAGTTTCTCCAATGCAGTCTAATCTTCCTTGAATGCATTTGCTAAAGAGATTCCATAAAATGAAACACATCAGCTCTTTGCACGTTTCTCCCTAGCTATAGAGAAAGCCACAGCAAATCTTCACTAGTCACACAAATAACAAATTCGTATCAAAATGAGTATTTGGTACAGCTATCGGGTTCACAGACATGGATTACCATTCCCAGAATGAAGGTTAAGACACCTAACTCTTAAATACTCCTCCGGATCTGGCACTGGTTTACTGCACATTTTCCCTAAATCAAGCTTTCCTAAGCATCTATTTTCTACTCTGTGAGATGAGACTACTTTCCTAAATAATAGAGCTCTTAAATCACTAAATGAATCTGTGTTTACAAAATAGTCTAGAATCCACAGAAAAAAACATGGGAGTTAGAAGAGAGAGAGAGAGAATACGGAGACATCTAAAGATACAAATAAGTTGTTTGAATAAAAGAGGCTTCCCCTGATATTTGTTTACACTGCTGCCCTGAACTGGTTGAAAATGAGAAAATGACAATTGTTTTTCACTGTAGATGCAAATTAATTATGTTATTGTTAGTATTTTCCCAATTTCTTCTTTTCTCTCTCTCTCTCTTTAAAAAACTCAGTTTAAAAATTGAGATTTTGGATTTTTTCCATGGATCACTTTTATTTCTTAAATAGTCTGCAGGATGGTATGTTGGAGGGTATGTTTTACTTTGCTTTTTCATTTCGAAGCCAGAGACTCCCCCAAGACCCCTGTCTTCCAGAAAACTTGTTCCCACTGTATGTGGATATTTTTTACACAACAATGAACTTTGCACAGAGATAGATTGCAAACATCACTCTACATAAGGTGTTTTCAGGTTCTTGTTTGCTAGCAGGAATATGGGATCTTAACCTTTGCTGTGGCTGCACTTCCTGCCAGGGGAATATTTGCTTTGGTACAATCTAGGAGAAATTTGTCATTATTTCTTATGCTAAAATGACACCATTCAGTGATTAGAGCAGGGACTTCCCCAACGAGCCCTGACATCCCTCAGGTATGCAGCCTTTGCATCATTAGAGCAGCTTACCACATCAGTTTGTCCTCTTGGAAGGAGTTGCCAGGCTGAACAATCTTGCCTTTGTAGTAGCAGGGACAGTCATCTGGAGTTACACATTCCTCCTCGTCGTTGATGTAGGTCCCTTCAGGGCAGCCGCAGCCCTCCAGAGGAGCAATCTGAACTTTACACAGCGGATCAGGTTCATCCAGCGAGCGGCAAGACTGGTTACAGTACTTCACGCTGTAGTTATAAACCATAGTCTCAGGACACTCCTCAGAGGGATCTTTGCAAGAGAAATAAAATAGATGTATGGTCTTCTCTGTGCAATCATCGCTCATGCTGTTAACACAGCTTTCTGCATGTTGGTAGCCATCAATGTACTTTTTGCAAACTAGAAGACCTTGTCTCCAAGTGGTCTGGGGCAAGTCTGCTCACATAACCTAAACTATGTGACACTGAATACTGAAATACTCAGCAAAGAATAAGGGAATCAGTAGAATTTTGTAATTTTTACCGTTTAAATTTCTATCGTATGCCAAGAACTGAGACCAATAACTTCTGACTCATCCTTGTAGTTAAAAATTAATATTCTGTCTTTTACTAATGGTTTCTTTGGCTGGGAATAGTTCAAGAAATGAGCATATTTTGAGGGGTAAATTTTGACATCAAATGGGCAGTGCCAAGGAACTCTGCTAATTGTTTGATACTACCAAAGAAAGTGTGTTTGAATTCTCATAGATGTCTTGAGGAAAACTCTTGTTGTCATCCTCCAGGGAAATGAGAAACAACAGTTTCTAAGACTTGTGGATGGATCAAATAGTTAAATACCAAAATCTAAAGAGTCAGCTGGCCCTGTAAGACAGTGAAAAGCTGGTTAATTTTCACAGGCTACAAAGAAACAACACCTTCAAAACTCTGCCATAAAATCTGCAGTAGTGATCCATAGGAACGACATCAAATTTTGACAGGAACTATCACCCACATTAAGACTGTGGTTATCAAGAAAGCCTGACATCCAGATTCCTCTGAAATTCAATGAGAACTGGGGATCTAGTCATCTTGGACCTCCTTCTAACTCACATCTACAGATTTAACCCCACAGCTGTTTTTCAGATACATATAGATGTACTAGAAGGTACAGGGGAGTTGTTCTTGGGCAAGTGTGCTAAGCAACTTTGCAGCAACGCTATCACCATAGTGGCAACTTATGTGTTTAAATGACACTCTGTAAGGTTTTGCAGTCCATGACCATAGTACACTTTCTTAGATTAGTTACTGTGCTAGGCTTGTCTACACCTTCAAAACCACCACTCCACCAACAAAATCCAGTTGTTTTCTGGTCTTAGCTGGAGCAGACATGATATCGCATGTATAAATCAGGAAGGCCATATTTTCCTACTTCATAGGCATACCATGAAGATGCAGCAACTGGTATTTGCAAATCAAAATAGGTCAAATAAGAAAGATATTAATAAATATGTTGAACATGAATTTACATCAGATTCACCTGAATAGGTGTCTCAATTGTTATTTATTTATGCAATAAATTAATCTGTTTACTTTCTCCCTTTAATTTTTCATAGAGGAAAAAGATTGATTTTGGTAAAGTGAGATCGGGTAAGTAAAAGGTTATAGTAGTCATAGTCACAGACTTGTAATCTTAGATCACACACATCACAACTGGTGGCGTGAGTGCAGAGAACATGACCATAGCAAAGGTAGCTTCAAGCTAGCTTGCACAAGGAACAGTAGAAAAGCAGTGCCATGACTTGGCAGAGGCTGCTAACTCCAGTGGTCTTCGGGGTAACCAGCAACTCAAGTGATGGTTCATGCTTCCACTAAAGATTGTGTCGCATACACGCACCGCCAAGAGCTGGCTAGTAGGGTTTACTTATTTCATACATTCTATGACTGCAAGGCGGACATCCTGCCTTGGATGCTGCCTGCAGCCCGGCACAGCTGGAAGAGCCTTTCAAACTCCCGCAGGGGCACAGACCACCAAGAGTGACTGTTCTGGCCCATTTATTCTTTCACTCATGAATAGTACGACCTTCAGTCTTATCTTAGGCATGTTCCTAAAAGATTATTTCTTCTTAAATCAGGCCTAAAATGATTGTGCATTTTTTTCCCCAGGTTACTGCACTGTTTGAGTCAATATTACCTACTGTGTCACGAGTCTACAGACTTCAGTCTAACCATTGTAGCAAACCAGTCTCACTTTGGCATAAAAAATGTCAGTAATTCTACGTTGATAACAAAGCTTTCAATAAACAGGGACTGTGTCTTGTACATAAATCTGCATGATTCTAGGATAATTTGCTGTGGACTACACTGTGTTCCCTTTGAGTTATTTCAGCACAGGTTTGTTAAATTGTTCTTACTGCAATCTTAAATGCCTTTGATAAAGCACCATACCAGTCACATTGTTTGTCTCTGTTAAATATCCCAGCTAGCTTCTAAGTCAGGCAATTAAATAGCTCATAGCTGCATTAAAGCTGCATAAAAATAGTTATGTTTCCTATTCAGATGTGGTACTAGTCAAGAAACACACATCTATTTTCATATTGATATAGGCAAATCTCACTTGAACTATCTGATTGTCACTGGAAAAATGGAAATGTTGAAGTAAAATTAGGAAGCTGGGACATTTGAGTTTTATTCTCAGCTCTGATACCATCTCATAATAAATTCTGGCAGTGCCAAAGGAAAGTATATACATATATACAGGATTTAGTGATAATGTGTATGTCTGAGACACTTCTATTCATTAGATAGTCCTGAGCTGAAAATGCCTTTAAACACTTTCACATTCTCAGATGTCATCAATATATATTTATTAAAAACCAATACTGTTTTACTGTAATATGGAAAAATGCAGTTAATGAGTGTGATGCCATTTGGCAATGTCTACGACAAGATGGCTGAGACAGACTGCAAAAAAGGGATCAGAATTTAAAAACATGGAGAGGGCTGTGTGTTCAAAACTGACGTAACTGCAACTCCTTGTTGTGATTTGATCAATACACCTCATACTCCTTTGCTTCTCTGAGTACTGAATTCACCTAATATTTTACATAAGGAACACGCACCATAAGAGCATGAAGTGGACATGAACTATTTTGGCAGGCAGAAGTTTTTTGTGGAACATATGCTTATGCTGGTTTTCAAAGACCCACTAACTTGATGACAGAGCACAAAAGATGCTGACTGCCACAGACTGGCCTTTCCTGAGGCTGTTCCCCCATATTCCCACCCAAGGTATTCTGGGATGCATACCACAGATGCCCTGCCTCCAGCCCTTCAGGGACACGCCTGCTGCAGCACAGTCTCTGGAGTAAGTAGAGAGCACACTACACAGTGCCACTTCGCTCTTGTCAGCATTGCAGGTGTCATACATACATTTCTAGGGGACAGAAAAGGACATGGGTATTATGCCCAGCTCACAGAAGAAACAGGGAAATGATGTAGCAATTCAAAAAGTAGTCAACCAATATATTTTTGAAAAAGCATTATTACCAGTGAAGCTTAATTTGTAATGGCTCTAAGAGAAAAATGTATGCTAACGAAATCCTATGCAAACCTGAGAAACAGGAAATCAATTACAGTCGTGTAACTGCAATGACGTTATGTCTAAAAGCCATGAATAGATAAATAATGACAAGGGCACCTATAGTTCATTAAAGCACTAAGAAATGTCTATACCAGCCTCCCATGTGGATGTACAAACTAGGACATGTCAAAATATGTCACCTGAAAATATACAGAACTGGAAGTATTACAGAGCGATGACTGGCACTTGTGTACCTATCTAATGTGTAGATAAGATACACCCAATTAAATGACAGGTGTATAATGGAAGATGGCTTAATAGGGAATCATATGTAATGACATCTAAAGAGCTAGCTAGGCAAGTACAAAGGGGATTTAAAGCTCAAGTTCTTTTAATTGGGTGACTGGACAGAAGAACCCAGATACAGCCAGTCACTCAAGAGCAATAGGGTTGTACTGCATAGATGATGACTTATCCTGCCATTACTGATGTCATGGAAGACACTTCCATGAATCATGGTTTAAAATCTGATGAGATCAGCAGGAGCAACAGACATATCCATAAGAAACCGGTTACTACTTTTCTTTAATTGAAAATTGCAAAATCCTATTTTATTTATAGTTAAAATGAATTCTCAAGCAGACATATTTTCTGAGGGAAACTGGGGAGAATTAAAGCACGTTAAAATTTAGGCAAAATTTCAGGGTCAGATATTTTCTCAGTAAGTTGTATCGCACACACCCCCTACATGAATCTTCTGCGTTCTTGCAGAAACTTCTTTACTATTCACATAAATGCGGAAACTCAGCAATGTGGAAGCTCAGCCAGCTTCCTCAGCAGCATTGTAGAGCTATACACCAGGAGTACTTACGGACAGCTTCTTGTGTCCTAAATACGAGGACACTAACATGATTCCGCAGTAATAAATGGGATAAAAATGATGTAAATATAGTATATATTCTCCCCTTAGACATGAATTTTAAACCAAGTCAGAGGGAATCCATGGGGCTGAAAAAGCTCTCAGTTCAATTTCACAGAGAAACTCTGATTCAGCTTTTCAAAGAGTGAATAGTTTTCAAGAACAGTAAACTTTTTTTTTTTTTTTCTATTTTACTTCTGGATCGTGCAACAGAACTGTCAGTGGTGGCAGTCGCTTAATATTTTCACAGTCACAGCCAAAAAGGCCCATCATATCTTGCATAAACTCTCATTTTGTTCTTTTTCTCAACAGCATCAGTGAACTTCTTTGCAAACAAGCATTACTGTAATCTATTTCCCTCCCCTAGGCCAGACTACCTTCATGGTAGATAAGACTCTGGACTAGGTTGAGCCACCCATTTAGACCAGTGCCTTACCTTGATGTACACAGAAGGGTCTACAACAGAATGGCAGGCAGCAAACACACCACTTGTATTAGACAGAAGAGCACACCAATGCTGGGCAAATTTTTCTGAAGTGGGAAAAAAATATCGTTGTCCGTAGTCACTTAAACCACATTATTATCTGAACCAATGTTCTTATCAGGTACCACACAGAACTAGAATGTCCTGAAGTGTTCAGATAATGTCAGAAGAAAATATGGAGCATTAACATATCGAGGCGATAAGCATAGGCGGATGGGTGACCAGTCATCTCCCTAAGTGAAAAGTTTCACAGTTCCAAGTACTAACATTATTACTGTGGCTGCGTTTGCAGAACATCTGCAAAACCTCCCCATTTTCATCGTTTTCCATCCCACTTTCCTAATTCTTTACACTCAGGCAATTCTTTATAGTCAAGCAAAAACATCAAGCATGTAATAATGAGTGAGCTGTGTAGCTAGAGCTGCAACTTCAATTACGTGGCATGTGGCAGTACCTAGGAGAGTGCAGTCTGAATCCTACATGTATCCAAAGCGAGACACCAGACAGGGTACCTAGTACAGTACAATGCTTGCTGAAGTCAATGCTGTTGATAACTTATTTTGACTTCAGCATCGCCATAACAACCTAGGCTGGATGAAGACCCTGCCCAAATGTTGACAACCAGGTATGCTCTGCCTTAAACCTAGATTGTTCTCATTGATGCTGTGTGTGGTTTTCAAGTCATCAGTGAAGAAGGTGTTGGCCCTTTCTCCAGCAGTGCAGTCTTTTTGTTTTAAAGCAAAACTGTCACCTTAAAGACCTGCAAAACCCAATGTGTTCTCTCTAGTAACAGGCTCAAAGGCAGTGGCTTTTGATGTTTATGCTTTCTAAAGCTTTTTTGGTTAGTCACCGTGTGAAAATCATTTAGCACTGATCATCCAGGGATGAAAAGCCTGCTACCTTTATCCACACTGTTTGAACAAGGATCTTCAAAGCTGTCGTCAACATCAAAACAGCTGGCTCTAGTTTTCCATGAGTTACCAAAAGCAGAAGCTGAATCTTCCACAGCTCCAGTAGCTGTTCTGAAGTCATCAGTCTGGATGTTATTGAAATTACCACAAAGACCTTGTGTGGGTGGCAGGAAAAAAAAACAACAACCAAAACCAAAAACAAACAAACAAATGAACAAAAAAAAACAAAAGAGAAGAAGAAATCAGTACGAGTGGAAAAAGAAATGGTTTCTAGATGGACACTCTTAGATCTATAATGGACCTCACTGGAGAGAAGCCCATTTTCCTTCAGAGGCTTCCTGGTGTTCCCACAAATCAGACAGGACCCTGTCTTTAGGGTGTAATTATTATTTTTCTGCATTACAGTAGCACTTAGTGATAGCACAGAGATTGGAAGCTGCTTAAACATGCTTCAGTAAACGCTGGCAGGCAGCAAAGTGCCTTCCTCAAAGGCTTATAAGCAAAGGAAGTCGCCAAAGCAAAACAAAATGGGTCAGAGCAACAGGATGTAATGCTATTACATCATAGATAGGAAAATACGTTACACACAGATAGGAAACAGAAGCACAAAAAGCTTAAATGATGTAAACAGGAGATGGGTGGCAAAACCAAGAACACAGTCAGAATCTTGCAACTCTCTGATGAAGACTTGCTTAGTCTTTTATAGTCTAGAAGACCTGCACATGCTAAACATCACCAAGATTATCTAATTCTCTTCAGCAAATGGAAGGGTTTAGCCAACACTTTGTTTCAGGAAGGATGTAGATTTAAACAGGGGTTCTAATATACCAAAGTCAATATAAAATCAACTATTTTGTTCACTTAAAGTGATAGATAAGCAGCTATAACTCAGCTTTAGAGCAAACTGAAAGAGCATGATGTGTCATACCAGATGTGTGATTCTGATAAGAATGATCAACTGTTATGGAGAGCTGCATTACAGGTTTCATTTGCACTTGAATTTGTACTCCAGTTGAGCTCAAGATTTTGATGAAAAATGTAGAGGGTCTGAAGATGGTGATGCCATCTAAAGAGGAAAAAAGAAAAAAAAAGATGTATGCACCTGCACACCTTCGTGAAGTTAAGTAAACAGGAACTTGCATTTACCAGTGCATCCAGTGTAACACAGGAATTCCCAGGCAGTCCTAGACCTAGTATCCGCCTAAGTCAAACAACCTAATGATGTTTGTACCATAAGGATCATGTTATTTTCAGACAGAGGAGCAGGAATCCCTCTGTAAATAGATGTGGACTAGTCTGGGGAAGATGTGAAGGACATTTACCTTTGCTTACTGGCAGCTTCACAATGAAATTGTTCATGTAGATGTTCCCACAGGTACATATTTTTATAGTCTGCAGCGAAAAATAAAAAAGAAAAAGCCCACAGTAGCGAATGAATATGACATGAGACAGAAAACAGTAACCTGACAAGCTTCAGTAAGCATTAAGAAGTAGTGACTTCAAAACATGATCACCTCTGGGGTCAATGTAACCAGTGTCTGGATGCCATAGAGTAACATAGAGCAAATCTCTAGGCCATAATAAAAAATTAAAATCCCTCTCCATAAGCAACAGCTTTGACTGAGTGCTCTCACATACCTAAGAGTTTAATTATCTTTTTGAGAACCGCTTGTGAGATGTCACGTGTAGGTCTGGACCCACCTCACTGGAATTGTAACATAACCCAAATGAGAGCCATCTGACAAACTCCCTCAGCAGGCAGTGGAGGGAGACAGGCCTCTCTGGAAGAACACCTCATACTTTAGGTGGGCTGACTTGTCCTTTGGGGATCTTCCTTTATTGACTACAGAAGGAGCTTAGGATGTTGGACCTCCTAACAAGATTAGGGCTGCACCAGTTAAATACCGGGCAGGCAGAATGAATCTGCATACCTTCAGGAGTGCATAAACACAGCCCTAACTCAGCTTCCACTGAATTTGGTTTGAATCATGGCATAATCTTCAGTAGGAGAAGCCTCTGGCCTTCATTTGGAAAATTCTGCTACTTCACTCATTGCGTTTGGAAAAACCTCAGGACTCAGAACTGTTGTAAACAGAAGGGGATCTTTTTGTGTAGGAATCTCAATCTTTCAAAAACAAAGAAGTGAAAATGTTTGAAGTCATGAAAAAGAGAGGGAAGGCTGACAAGGATCATTTTTAGACATCTACCTCTAAAGAAAACAGAAAAGCTGGAATCCAAAACTGGAAAGGAAATAACTCTCGTAGAACAAGACCAAGAAACACATGTACCACATAATCTGATGGTGTTAATCTTGCAGTCTCAGGAGTGCAACAGACCAAAATAAGTCCACAGTGTTAGAGAATTCCCATCTTTGAACCTAAATAAGTGTGACATATGTCACTAATTAAAGCAAGGTACTTACAGTTCTTCCTAGTGTGACTAGTACATTCTTTAGGCAAGTCATTGTCTTTGATGTCCCACACTGGATGATCTCTCCAATCACCACAAATGTGTCATCAGTATTCTGAAAAGACATGAAAAATGGATGTGCAGACATTCTTAGCATGTTACAGGAAGGGAGGTGAAAGAGAAAACAGGTGTCTCTGAAAGGCAAAAATGGAATAATGAAAGAACTGGGGCATTTAATCTTGAGCTGCAAACTGCTTTATTTCATTGCCAAAATCAATGATGTTCACTGCATTTCCTCTACACTCTGTTTCCTTGCTATCAACCTGTGTGGGTCGTATATTTGCAGACAGTCATGTCAAATTCAATCGTTTTGCAGGAATTTTTGCTCATCCACTTCCTTTTGATAGTCATACATGAAGAAAGCTTCAGGAGAAATGCTTAGATCTACACTAATACATCCACTAAGAAAATTAATTCATTGGAAAAAAAAGTTATAAGGCTGTGTTGAAGCTGCAAAACTTTGATGTCAAGCATCAAGCAATTGACTTGCAATCCACTGCAAATGGGAAAATTTATGGGGTTTAAGACTGAGCATGTGTTGAAGAGCTTTCTTGGATTGGTGCCATTTAATTAAATTAAGTCATATAAAGTTCCAGCACAGCTTAATGCCTCATGCTACTCAGGAGATTTAGGAGTGAAGTGGAAGACTGTTCATACCTTAGCTAAGACATAATGGCAGTTGCCATGAAAATTGAATCTCTTGTTATCGAACGTTGTTATGTGGAATCCTCCATCGATATGGCAACTTCCGGAACAGGGCAGAGGGATACAGCTCCAGTGGCCTCCTTTGCAAGTACTGTACAAGAGGCAAAAAGGAGCAGTTAGAACAAACATAGCTTTAAAGGAGCAGAGGTGAGATAACATCTGTATCTGAATCTGCACAGGTGACACCCTCTGTCTTTTTGGCTTGTTATTTGGCTGCTTATCAAATCTCTGTGGGATGAAGTCTTTATGTTAGAGTCTTAAAGTGTGAAGGTTGGATGGCTCTCAATGAGAGAGTTAACTGCACTGAGCTTTGAACTAGCTCCTTCAGGGAGACACTGAGTAGGTCAAGCAAGAAATGTTTTTCAGGGCCTAAATTCAAGCAGGATCTTGCAACGTTTTATGCTACTGATGCAACAGTTCAGCAAGTTGCTGATGTAACATTTCAGCAACTAATTGTGGAGGACCTGAGACAATGAGCAGCTACAATTCTTAGAGCTGTGCACATAGCACTGCCACATTAGTTCAGGCTTTGTGAGGAGTAAGTGAGGATATGGCTAGATGGGAATCAACCAGAGCCCATCAAGTTCCGTTCCTCAAAATTGCAGGTTTTGAGGAGTGTTTCCTCAAAATGCAGGAAAAATTCGATCCAAAGGGAGTTGCAGAAAATCTGGCCTACCCCACCATGCACCACAGCATATTTCATTCCTCTCTATGGTAAAGGTCAAGAAAGAGTGCTATGTCACAGGAGCTCAAATAACGTGAACGACTGTTCATTCACTAGATGGATATCGGAATAAGAAATAAAACTGCTTTGAGAATAATACACCTGAGGTCTTACTGCCTTTCACTAGTGCAGGTGGGTTCAAGCTACAGGGGTTTTTTCTAAATCGATTCATTCTCGAGGATCAGTACTTTTGAGATCCAAGCCTTGGAAAAGCCTTTTGTAGATCTAGAAAGGTGGTTGGAAATTTAATTCACTAACTCTTTGCCTCATTTTAGCAGCCAATGCCTCTGAACTAACCAGGAAAGAGTCTCATTTTTCTGCATTCTGAAACCTTGAGCTCAGTTTTTGCTGGCAGTTCCAAGTGAGGCTGAGGACTGCCATTAAGTTTTCCTGACTGTTGAAATTCAGACCCAGATTTGCGTTATTATTTAAGAAACATTAGGAACAGGGAGAAAAAAAAGGGGGAGAAAAGAACAGAAAGCAAATCATCAATGCTCTGAAATAAATGCCTCTGCCTTGTTAATGCAATCATGTTCACAACAGTACCAGTTTTGGCAGGGAGTGGAGTAAGTCCCTCCAGATGAGTAGACTTTGCCTTGAAACATACAGGGGCAGCTGTCTCTGGGGATGCATTTTTTGCCACCGAGGTCATCAAGGATAGATCCTGTTCAGACACATTGGCTAGTTAATATTCCTTTGGTGAGTCTGGGAAACACCACCAAAGATTAGAGTAAGGACAAAACTCTGGGGTATTCAGCATTTCTGTAAATGAATGGGATAATTTTTAAGGAAAACACCAGACCAGGTCCTTTAAGGTGTTAATGGACGGGAAACGTTTCTTACTAGAGCGCAAATGAAAGTAACGCAAAACCCAAAGAATATCTCTGTGTGTTACTGGAATCTGTCACTGTGAGCAGGATTATCAAGTGCCAGATTGCAAGGATGTCAGCCAGTTTCCATCCTTTTCTATTAGTGAATCTAACAGACCCTCACCTTAGCCTCTACTTCATGTGCAAACTTGCACATGCACATACCTGGCAACAGGTTTATATTACGTGTGACTTAAGCTACAGCAAGATCTAGCCTCATAACAGGGAGGCACCTCACCAGACATCTTCACCTTCATTCTTACTGTCTAGAGAACACTTCTCCTCTTTCCACATCTGTAGCATTTTTTTCCTGTCTAGTCCTTAGAAATCTTTCCCTCCACTCGTTCAGTGCCAGGTTCTTGAATCTTTAGAGATCTAGCTCTTCCCAGGAGGATGTTGTTAAATTATGCTAGAAGAAACAGTTTATTCATTGATTTAGTGTAAAACGTTAAAGAAAAAAAAATTGCCACTAACTGAAATGGAACCACCTTCCTCTGTCCCTTGATATGTGTGACCCATTGGAAGAAGTGAATTGCCTTACCAGGAGGACAGAAACAGCCATCTGTACACGGGGCTTTACAAATCTTGCTCCTTTCTGGGTCAGCACATGTGTCAGCACAGGAATTTCCACATTCCATGTACTCCATGT